ATACATATACATACATAATAAAAATAAATTATGCATATTGCATATAATAAAAATAAATTAAAAACTTACTTCTTCTTCTTAATTATTTTGTTTGCGCTTTATTCCACTGATCGAATCACTTGTTACTGGCGCACTAATACTAGGATTATTCTTTAAAAACTCTTCCATATCATTAAAAAACTCCCATTCAGTTTGAACTGCTTCTTCACCTGTGTTCTTAATTGTATCTTTAATGCTACGATATTTTTGGTGAAGTGACTTCCATTTTTGTTGAATGGATGTTTTAGAACATTCCTTCAAAGCAGTACTTGCAGTAGTATAGCCTTGTATATTCGAAACAATTTTGTCCCAAATCCGTTCCTTATGTCTTGGATCTCTTACTTGCTGTAATGCTTTTTGATTTTTTCCTACTTCCTCAATAAGAATATGGATTTCTGAAGATGTCCATCTGCTTGATGACTTACTATTAGAAGCATTACTATTTAAATGAGCATTGCTAGAGACGCTAGAAACATTAGATAAATTAGAAGTAGATGCTGATTCTAATATATTTTCTTTGCTATAATCACTATCAGAGGATTTTAAAAGCGAAACCTAAAATATTATATTAATCTTAATATAAGCTATATATAAAATTTAAGATTATTTGTATTTATTACTTTTTTGTCTTCAACATTTGAGTTATTTGCTGCTAAAGGATTTAGAAAAAGTTAAGTTGGATAGTTTTGTTGTAAAAACATATGGAGGTTGGTAAAGTCGGAAAAAGGTGGAAAAGAAACTGGAATCGCCAGTACAGGTTTTTGATCTTTCTGTTGGTTCATCGTTTTTTTTTTTTTATTACAATTTTGTAAAAATGATTTTTTAATAGTAACAATAAGCGATTAGAAGATAGCAATAATAAAAGTATTTGCTTAACCATCAATCGCAATCAATATTTCAATTATTGCAACGCTTGAACGTAAACACAATCACAAATCAATCACATTGAGGTTGGTACGTGAGAACACGTCAATTACATCATTATTCGCTCTACTGATTTTCAATGAAGATCTAATTAAATTTTACATAACAGTTGAGCACCATTACGATCATTATCTAATTAATTGAGTGTGCTACTTGAGAACACCCTTAATGCTTAGTCACTTAGTTGCTTAATCACTTAGTCACTTAGTCGCTTAGTTTACAGATATATAAACCTTGCTAAATTCTCTAAATGTAATTAAACAACAGACACCTCTCTTCTCTTTAATATTGTAAACACTTCTTAGAATTTTTTAAGAACAGAAACCTAAGGATAGCCCTTCTTGTTATTACTTTAATAAATAGCTTTTGATTATAAACTATATTAATACTTCTTCTTTAGAATAATTCCTATAGGCAAGATTTAACTTCTCTTAATAAAATAAAGTAAAATAATTAGTATTGCATTACCTTTTCTAAACTGTTTCAAAGAAGAGTATAGTTTCTTGACAATGTTTAACAGAAGCTATATTTCTCTTTTGGACATTACATATACCTATAAGGGATTTCTTGTGCCATGTCATCATTATAGTATGAAAATTAAAAAGACTTACATTTATAACAATATAACAAGTTCTGTGATTTCATTTGCTCAAAAGCTGTGTTTTGTCAGGTTCTTGTCTGAGAGTAGTTGCTTGAGTCTTGTGATAAATCAGTATTTGGTGGCTCATGTACTATTACTTTTGACAAACAGTAAGTTGCTATTGTTGGCATATAATTCTTATATACAGATACTTATATATATCTTCAATATATATATAAGGCACAGAGTATTATTAGTTGAATGTATAATAAGTAATGTATGATTGGTAGACTTGTGCTTTTTTGTTTGTGCTAATTGAATTATTGCAAAAGTGTTGCTCTCAGATAATTTAAACTTTAGTGTAGCTGTAGTTAAAACCTTAATTTTATTTAATTGGTTGTTTGGTAGAAGCTTACTTAGTCATGCAAAACTATAAAAGGCTGATAGAGCAATGGCCTAAAATAGGATGTCTATATTGTTGTTTGTGCTTAGTTGTTATTGAATTTGTAAATGTGTTGTTAAGTAATATAAGATTTTTGGTTAATAGGCTTGTGAGTATGTGTAGTTTTGATGGTTTTCAAAAGTTGCAACACTAGAGAATAAAAACAAATAGGGCTTCAGTCATAGTAGTTTCTTAAGTAGTAATATTTAAGAGTCAAGAGATAAGTTATGATATTGAGAAGTATGATAGTTTTATGAAGTAAAATTATATAATTTATTAGAGAAACTTGTAATACTGATCATACAGATCCATTGTAGTTGGTCTATTAATTGGCTATGATAAGGGTTTTATATCATTTAATTATAGCTTTATATGCTTTGTTATAGGATTGTTTTATGTTAAAAAGTTGTGCAGCTTGGGCATCTAGTAATAAACTTGTATCAAAATATTGGAAATTGGTGTTATAAGGATAAGTAACTGTGAATTTGGATTGTTTTGTTAATGAATGCCTATTGTTTTAAGAATAAAATAAAAGAGATTAGTTTTTTGTATAAGTTAGAAATGTTGGGGTTAAAGTAGTATGTGCTAGGGTTGTAGATAATGAATTCTTGGTGGCCATTACAGGACAATAAGTTTGCATCTAGATTGTAAATGCTAGAAATGTGTTCAAGTTTTATGACAAAATTGCTATACACTTGTATGGTGTAAAGCTGACCAATTAGGTCATTAATTTGGAGATTCTTGCAATATTTGGCATAGTATATCTTGGTATTAAATAGGTTGTTTGTTCATATTATAAGCTTTTTCTATTGCCATAATAGAATAAAGGTATATGCTATAATTAAAGTAGTTAGTAGTTCTTTGACTTAAATGTTCATTAAGTTCAGATCAATGTTGTTCAACTAGAAAAAAGCTATGAAATAGTTCTGAAATACAACCTCCTTACTGATGTTTGATGCATCTGTAAAAAAATTAAAAATAATTGGTTGTATCTATTTTATGTCTTGTAATAAATAAATACTGTGGCATTTTTTGAGTGCTGAGATTTACTACTGAAGATCTAATTGCATTGGTTTGGTTATTCAAAAGTAGAATTTTGAGTTTTCTGAAATCTCTTGAGCTTTGATAAAGTGTTAAATAAAGTAACAGCCTTGTGGAATAATCTGACATGTTTAAACTAATGATTCTACTATAGATTGCAATTCTTTTTAATAATACTATTTTTTGTATAGTCATTGAGATGTTAGAGTTGTTAGCTGTTTTTGCTTTTTAGTTGGTATTGACGCAAGTAAGATGTTTGTGTCTAATATTATGCTAAGAATAATAACACTAGTGCAAGAGCTTTCTATTTTCTTATATTTATAAGATATATTTAAAATATTAAGAATGCAAATGAATTGTTGAAGTTCACATTTGTCATTTGTAGATGATATTATTAGAAAATCATCTATATAATAGATAATTGTAAAGATGTCCTGTTGATATGCTACCTATGCCAGAAGGTTGGCAAAATAGCAAAATATTCCTTTAGAGATATGGTTTCTGAATGTTGGAACTTTGTTAATATATAGATTATTTTTATTCTGAAAACTTTGTAATGTTTAATTAACAGGATGTACAAGAAGAATGCAATATGCATTTTTGATATCTATTTTTGATAAAGTGCAACCTTTATCATATTTGTTGATCTAGCAAATTATATAATTTATATTTTCATATTTCATAACAAAGTTTAGTTTGTTAATTCTGTTATTGATACTATTGTAAAATGAAGAAGATAGATAAGAGGTTACCTAATAGGCTTGAAGATTTGTGTTTTTTTTTTAATCAGATCATATGAATTGATTTAAAATAAGTTGCAGAATAGGTTATTAATATCAAATAGGCTACAGATATGTTTATTTGCTAACTTATTTATAATATATGCTATAAATGCATAAGAGGCAATGTTTATTGAAGAGAGATTGTCTTGAATAAGTTTGGATTGTTTATCTTTAAAATTGAATCTAAAACTTTTTCTAATACTATTAATAATATACTCAATAAATGGGCAATTAGAGTAAAAAACTAAAGAGCTTGTAGATTAATTAGAGTTTGAATATTAAAATGTAAAAGATTTAACTACTTCAGAAGACTTAGTTTATAATTAGACATTGGAAGTTTTAGTGATGAAATAGTAATTATTATTTCATTGACAGATTAGAGAATTGGTATTTATTGTGAGATAATATTTTATAAAAGATTGAACTAAGTCTAATATTTGAGAATTGCTATATTTATTCAAACTATAGATCCTAATTAAAGAAGTGAATTAGTAAGTATATATTACTTTATTATCTGTATATATATCTGTATATATTGTAATATGTAGACATTGTGTTTATATTGTAAGTTATCTGTATAATTGATGTATTTCATTGTTGTTACTGTTTAATTTTTATGTATATGTGTATATATATATATTTATTATTATATATATATATATATATTGTTTATTGAGAGGTGTAATAACTTTGTAAAGTGGATAGGTTGTTAATCTCCAAGTAGCAGGCCTAGAGTTCAAATTCTAGTGATAGTGAAAATTTGCAATTCTTTTTGTGTTACAATTAACTGTTTTTCATAATCAGTTGGGATAAAACACTTGTAATTTGTATTATACTAGTATGACTGAAAGGTCTAGGCATTTGTACAATGTTGTATGAAGAAACACAAACTAGTACTAGGCAGTGTGAACCCAAGATAAGTTCTTAGGTCATGTAAATCATAGGAACCAGATAGGAAGATGGAGTATATTTGAAAGATTCAAGTAGAAAGATAATTCAAATTTTTAATAATACTATTATAAAAATTAGACCTATGAAACAGAACTAGAATTTATGAAACTAAGCACAGAGCCTGCCTTTAAGGAGAGGCCAAATAGAACCAACTAGGCTGCTGAGATTTGTTCTAGAAAAAAAGATTATATACTAGCAAACATGTAAATCAAAGATGTATAGTTACAATTTGCCTTTTCAGACTATCTGGTTTGGGAGCTTAGTGAAACTTAAATTGAATACCAAACTAATAAAAATATTGTAATATGGTTGCTTAACCTAACTAGATTCTAAATATTTGTTTAATAAATATGTCGTCGCCAGTTAAATCA